TTATCCGGTAGGCCAGCGTCGTGTAGACCTGTCGCCGAAGGAGGTACCGGTTTCGACTATCGCCTGGGCATGGCCATCCCCGACATGTGGATAAAGCTGCTGAAGGAGGAAAAAGACGAGGATTGGAAGATGGGACACATAGTTCACACGCTCACGAATAGACGATGGATGGAGGGAACAGTTGCTTATGCTGAGAGCCATGATCAGGTACTTTGAAACTAAATATTTAATATTTTTTGTTTATTTTGTCGGTGTATCGAGTATAGAAAAGAATAGAAATTATTTATTTCGCAAAAAGCACTGTACACATGTTTTTCATAAGTGTTTTGTTAATGGACCAATATGGGATAATCTTTAAAAAAATTAGTTAAGCGTCAGTTGTCTATAAAAATGAATGTAATTGATCAAAATTGTTTTTCAGTGCTGACCGTGACTGAACTTTTATGTAAAGATCATTTCATTGTATGGCAGGAAATAATCGGGACAGCAGAAGTTGATCAAATTTCATAAAATGTTTGTCATACAAAATGATATTGAATATTTTTTTTAATGCTAATAGACTGAGTTTCTTATAAGGATATGACTTCATTGTATATGAAAAAATAAATAAAAGCAGAAATTGGTAAAAATTTTCTTTTTTTTAAATTTAATACAAAATGAATCATTCGGTAATTAATCAGTTATATGGTAATTAGAAACTCATTTTCATCTTGGTTATTATTAATCTTCGGGGCAACCAACAGCTCAAAGACTTCTGATTCGGGCTTACCAGTGTTTTTTTTTAGGAATTTACGTTAAATATCGGGCTTTTGCGTGCTCTTGAGCTGTTTATTTATATTTATTTTAATATACAGTTCATTGAATATGATGTTTTTACATGTTTTACTACCGTGATACTCGTCTATTTTTTATGAAAATACTCCACTACTTTGTTATTACTATTGAAACAATAAAGATCAAACAAACACAAGGAAAAATTCGACTGGACTCGAAGCAATGTCTGTTGCGGTGGCTACCACTCTTAACAACTGAGTTACAGATCGAGTCATCAGATCTTACGAATATCTGTTTATGGAAGAAATTGCTACTTGGCAATAAGATATCCTCTGTGATACTTACATAGCTGTTCTGTGTTGTTACTGTAGTTTTTAATTTGCAATAATGAATATTTTCATTCAGTCATTCTATGTAATTGCTACAGCACCTGCGAGACAGTTATGAAAGTTTTTTCATTCAGCCAGGTACCTTTACAGCTACCAGAAAATGACAGAGATGTCACTATAGTAATTGCAATATTTATTTTATTGACAATAAATTTGTCTTTATTTATAATAATGTAAGGTCTATATATACCCAACAGTGGGTGTTAACAAGCTGAAATGATAAGGTAAAATAACATCATCGCTAAACCGTTTCAGGCTCTTGTTGGTGACAAGACCATAGCGTTCTGGCTGATGGATGCGGCGATGTACACCCACATGAGCACACTGAGCGAGCCGAGCCCCGTGGTGGAGCGGGGGCTGGCTTTACATTGCATGATCAGACTTATTACGCATTCTCTTGGAGGGGAGGCATATTTGAACTTTATTGGTGAGTTGAGCGAAGGAAACTCAGTAATAGTGTGGCTGCAGCGCCACAGTGGCGCCACTGCAGTGCTTCTACAAGCATCTAATTTGAAAGCTTTTTCCTATATACAAAAAGAGAAAACATCAAATTTTACAATAAGACTCCGTGTACATCAAAATGTACATAACATGTGAAATGATTCAGACCCCAGACAATATTATTTCTATGATCATCTATACGCCTAGTGTACATAAATACTGAAAATATTACATTTAAATTTCTGTGGCTTAGTGAAAAAGGGTGCAAGTCAAAAAGCCAACCTTACAAGGAAACGTGAAAAACACTTAACGCTTCATATCATATTAAGCTTTAACTGTTTTTCGCGTCTCCTCTGTAGAAAAATACGTTTTTCATAAAAAAAAACTGATAATATTTGCTTGGCTTTGAAGCATGTAATTACATTTTAATGAATATTGGGCGTTTAGCGGTTTTTCCATTGCGGTTTGCCTAGGTCTTAGAGTTAAAGAAAGTAGTCATCTCGAAAAATCATTATCGAAATAACTTTTTTATACAAAAAACGACCTCAATAGTATGTGGAATTACATCTATTTGCCAAGTTTTATTGAAACCGATTAACGAAAAGTGGGTCATATCCAATACACCGAATTCATCTTCTAATTTGCCACCCTTAGAGGTGGAATATTTTCTTCAAATATCTATGGGACCACTACTGAGGCACCCCTTTTCCAACCAAAAAACGTCGTCGAAATCGGTTTGCTAATGACGGAGTAATTTCATAACATACACTAAAAATACGGTCGAATTCAGAACCTCCTCTTTTTTTGAAGTCGGTTATAAATCTGTTACAACTTCCAGGCAACGAATTCGGTCACCCCGAATGGCTTGACTTTCCGCGGGCTGGAAACAACTCCTCATATCATTACGCGCGTCGCCAATGGCACCTGGTCGATGACGATCTTCTCAAGTATAAGTTCCTGAATCAGTTTGATAGAGACATGAACGAGTTGGAGGAGAAATATGGCTGGCTGCATGCTGACCCTGTGAGTACATTCACAATTTAAAAAACCTTTATGTTAGGCATTCTAAAGTGATGTATATGTATAATAATTCTTATTGGGATAAAGGGTGAAAGAATTAATCAATGAATGCATGATAAGCATTGACTTTGTAAGTCAATGATGATAAGTGTTAATTTTTGTTTATTTTTCACATCTCTGGATTCAAGTCCTTCAATCGAAATATTATAGATAATAAACATAATATAAAAAATTAATAGTACGTAATAATATTTTGTACTATTACTTAATATGTTATATTACAACATATTGTCTAGGGTATCATCCTATCCTATCCTGTTTAGTTCCCCTTTAGGTACAACAAGTAAAATGCAAAGTCTAAAATAAGTAGTAGTCAACTGTTTGTAGAAAGACCCTATTGGTCTAAGTAAGGTTTATTATCTATATCGCGTTTATAACTAAGGATGCGTTCCCGTTATGTCGCGACGACAAATAGTTGTGCAATTTAAAGTGTCGTGGCTTGTATATTTAAATGAAGTTGTTCACCTATAATACAAAACGATTAACTGTCGTTCACAACTTTTTGCTGTTACGATGACAGACTATCGTGACAATGGGAACAGCTAGAACGACAGTCGTCTGACGATAAATAAAACGTCGCAATAAAAATGTGACGCCAGATAATCGCAACTTTCAACGATTCTGTTGTGCAAACGACAAGGCGGTTGACGTCAACCGATAAATAGTCGTCACGATCTAGTGGTAACAGTTAGACACGACACTCGTTCAACGATAAAATAAACGTCCACAACACAGTCACGACAGATAGTCGTGATATGGGAACAGGCTAGACGCGAGCATCGTCTAACGATGAATAAAACGTTACGACATAATGGGAAGATAGGTTAGCATTACGTTAGCATTAAATCATAATATAAAGGGTCAAGAGCACTTCAGGCGTTATACTTAAAATTTAAATTAAATTCTGCCACTTTTTATTCTATAAAGCAAAATGACAAGCTTGATGTGCTCTTGAAGTACACACGTTGGTAAAAAGTTAACGATCGGAAAAATTTGTACAAAAGGTGTAACATTATCATGGGACTATTTGAACCTGCAGGCTTACGTCTCTTGCAAACACGAAGGCGACAAGGTAATAGCGTTTGAACGCGCGGGTCTGCTGTTCGTCTTCAACTTCCACCCTTATCAGAGCTTCACTGACTACAGGGTTGGCGTCAATGTCGCTGGAAATTATCAGGTTCGCCACTTTATCTACCTTAAGGATATATCTTGTTAGCGTTGATTCGGGAAAACGGAAACTTAACAAAAACTTTTTACAAAGATTTATGGTTAATTCATTTTTAGTAAGAAATTTTTTAATATCTTTTCATTTTTGTTTTAAAACTGGACTCCGTGTTACAAATCCCACATTTGTTCACTGACAATTTGTTGCAGGCGGTTCTGTGTTCAGACAGCAAAAAGTATTCAGGATTCGGACGCGTCGAGCCTCAAGGAGAACACCACATCACACAAGGCATGCCATGGGGGAATAGAATGGATTCAATACAGGTAATTTTTGTCTGACTTATAATTCGCAACAACTTGAATCTTATAATTATTAATACAACGATCGAAAAAATTCCTTCGATCCAGCCGGATTCGAACCGACGTCTTCTAGCATACCATGCTAGACGCTATACCAACTAAGCAACGGAACGAACCAGCAAACCACGAAGCAGCGGACAGCGAATCACGAATATTTCTACATGCTCGGGTCGTATCTTTTGTATTTGATATTTCAACGACTTTTTGGTCGTAGCGCCATCTATGAGAAATCTATGTTATTTCGTCACCCTGTTAGATACCTACCTTTACAGCTACCAGCCCCGGCTAGAGATGTCGCTATTTATTGTATTTAATTTTTATTGATGTCAATTCAATAAAAATTTAAACTTGTATCTTGTAACTGTCTAACTGAAATAGATTATTTATGTTACCACGAAGTTTTCGGTAATTTAATGTAACTAACATCCGTTCACTACATACCTACATACAATCACGTCCATCTTTATACACATACAAGGTTATTTGTAAAATATTTACAACCTCACAGGACTATATCACTAACACAACTTACAACTTTTATTCCATGCCTTTTAAAAAACAATGACTACCAAAAATAAACTTTGTTGTACTATCTAACACTTTCTAGATCTGCATTTGGTAGTAAGTTCAAACCCCGCTTCTGCGTTTTACATTGGACTGGTATTTACGCTAGCGCTATCTTTCGTTACCGCATGGAGTTATCGCCGTAATTATACGTAATTTTTTTTTTTTGTACGAAAGTAAAATCTGACCGATTATTAAAAGTCACGAAACAAATGTTGTTTATTATGATGTAAGTAATACAGTGTTGCAGTTGTTTGTTACTAATTTACAAATAACCCTGATAGTTTGAAACAATTTATGAATTAAATTCAGAAGTAGAAACATATAATTTTTATCATAGCAGTGAAAGGGTTCTTACTAGTTATAATATACGCCTACCTAAGTTCCCTAAATTTCAGCCAGACCTCAGGAACAACAAGTAAAAAGTAATAACAAATATGTGATAGTCTAAATAATGCATCCATATTAACCTACTACTAAATATAGTACATGTGTAGCACAGCAGCATAAATGTAATGTCAGTGGAAAGTGAAAATTCTAGAAAGAGTGAGGAAAAGAGGCACATTTGTTACATTTGTTAATAACTAGACAGAATTTTCTAGTGAGACTTGGTATTTATTGTCTGGCTCTTTTTCTACCTCCACTCGCACCAGTCACGCACCACATCCGTGTACACGCCCTACTCGTGTACACGCTCGTTTGTTTTTGATAGTTTTGATTTGACTATAGAACAAGTTCATTTATTATTAATCTTGTTTTTTTTACAGATTTACATCCCATGCCGCACGGCAATAGTATATGCAAGAGTTTAAAGTAGTGCTAATCTTATTACAATTGAATAATTCAGTAATTGTTAGATTACATATAGTTGTTATAAATTCTTTATTTCCTTGAGAAACTATTTTTGTATAGATACAAAGAATTTTTATCAAGGATATTTATTGTTGAAAATATATACATAGTATTATTATTATTTTTTTATAGATATTGTTATTTCCTGGCTTCAAATTAAAAGTTAGTCTGATGGATGTTAAAAGCAGATGTTCTATGATTTGCATGTTGTGCCATGAATAAAAGATAAAAGTTTAGTTTTTTCCAAAAGCTTTTTATTTCTATGTTGGTATGCCTATAAGTAAATTATTCTTAGGAGTACAAGTTAGAGGTTTTAACCTGGACAACGTAACTTTGTACCCATATTCTTCAGCCAAGCGGGCTCTATCAGAATCAATAACTGCCATGCATTTTGCTCCCCTAACTGTCAAAGGGTGTTCTTCATGAGTTTGATCTGCCGCATGTCCTATACACAAATATTGGTCAATAGAAACACCACTAAACACCCTACTTCTTGGATATACCAATCTATCAGTAGCGTGTAAAGAACCATAACAGCAAGGGCACAGAATAAACTTTGCATTTGCATTTAAACATTTATCCAAAACCAAGTCACTTGCAATCCCACATGCATGTAGAGCTATTCCTATATCAAACTTTCCAATAAAGAAGTCCAAATTGCATTGGAAAAATAACACATTCTTCATATCCATGTCATGTACTCTTGTTCGGGCTCTAAGTAGTGACTGCTCTTTATTCTCCAATAATATTATTGTGCACTTAGGCAGTAAATGTGCAAGTAATATGCCTAAATGACCACTGCCACTGCAGAAATCTACAATAAGGTCTCCTTCTTTAGCTATATTTTGTACTGTTAAAGCCAAGTTTTCCAACTGTTGGGATTTTCGATGCATTCTTTCATCAGGTAAATGCCCAGCACTGGGATTTGCACCATTTGGAATTTCATTCCAATTGATTTTAAAATCAAATTTGTTAGAAGTCATGTTTAGTTCCATTCCATCCTTAAGGGTGCTTAATGCATTTTCAATATCTTCTTCTTTTGTATACAATCTCTTTTTTGGATTATGCCTTTTAGGGTCACATTTGTACAGACTAACATCTTCCATAACTGGTAAATTGAGTTTTTCTATTTTTAGAGCCCTATTTCCAATTCCTTCAAGAAGAGGTTTTAAATTTTGGATTTGTGTTACTTGCTGAAGATTATAAAACCACATGTTTGTATAAGAGAGGTGTGATAAAAAGATTGGTTCTCCTAATGATTGCATCACTATGTGATAAGATGGTAGAAGTAGCAAATCAGCTAAAGTAAGAAAAGGTCCCTCTGCAAAACGATGACTAACTTCTAAATCTTCTATTTTAGTTGATGAATCAATTTGAATTTGTTTTCTTGTGTTTGATTTCCATTTTCGAGGCTTTATTGGTCTTGATTTTTCTTTGTTTTCGTTTATTGGCTTCTTTTCAGTATACGTTTGATTTAATGATTTCGAAAACTCATTTTTAAAATTCTCTTTTTTCAAATCTCTAGCTATTTTGTAAACGTTATGTACTCTGACAGGTTTCTTAAGATGGTTTTCAAATCTTATGAGATTCTTTGGGACTTCTTCCAATGTATCTACATTCAAAATGCTTTGGACAGTCTTTATAATGTCAACTTCACAGAATTTTGTCCAAATGGATACTTCATTGGGAGCCTGAAGACAGCTCTTCCGGAAACCAAGTAAGCCCTCTTCGTGTTCTTGAAACGATCGCACAGAGGTTCGATATTTACAAATATGTCTGGCCACAGCACATAGCCCAGTTATTAAAGTATCTACATACAAAACTGCAGGAAATTTACATGCCGCCACTTGCCACGGTACATTTTCGCCATTTATAAACTTCATGTCATCCTTCCAATGTAATGTAAGTTCCTTTTTGGCTCCATTGCCCGTAAAAACAAAAATTAAAAACAAATCTTTTGGAGCACAGTATTTGTAAATACAGTATGTTAGCAATGATTCCACTGGTAGGTTCAATGTCGAAGTTTTTAAGTAGTCTTTATGGCTTGTATATGATTCCAAATACACAATATTAACCATTTTTATCGTATAAATGTTAAGTATTTTTACTCTAGTCTAGATTAAAATAACCTTATAAAACAATTATTTTTTTTTTTTTTAGTTTATTGCTGGCCATGGAAACAAAGTCCTTCAGCCGAAAACATAAACGTTTAATTATATTTCTGTAAATATGGCCACCACAAAGAGGATTGGCAATTTGAGGCGGCGTGCTTGGACTGACTCGGGATTCCTTAGAACGGGCCGAAACGGGTATTTTAGTTCGAGATTCGTATAATTTCGCGTTTTAATCTTCGATTAAGGCACAATAGCACTATCCTATTCCACTTTAAACTAGATGTCACAAAATAATTGAAAGTGAAAATAAAAACGACACTTTTCCCTCCAACAGGCTCAGAGCGAATCTATAAAACACAAACCACCAGTGTTGCCAATGCCAATTGTTCAAAATCGCCAAAAATCACGGTTAAAATCCCCAAATTTGGGGAGAACGAAGTTCATATTCCCCACATCTCGAGTTTTCATTATTTATTACAAATATGTACATCGCTTAAAAACAATTATAATAAAGAATTAAGAAACTCAAAATGTAATCATCTATTACGTTTGCTGTGAATGTAAACAGAATGTAAAATGTAAAACTAATTATAAAATTAGATGACCTTAAATTGTTTATATATTTTAATGAGATTCAACATTAATCAAACTTTGAGAAAAAAAATCATTTTTCTTTGCCTCACAATATTAAGTAACATAATTATTTTGTTGCGCATTTGGTGACACTATGGTTACTGTTAAAAAAATTCAATGAGTAAATTAAGTTTCAACCTATATTTAATATTTAAAGTTGACGAGTGCCGAGTGGTAAGTTGTGGTGTGGAAGTACCAACTGCTCGGCTTTTTATCAATAGCTGATTTCGTTTATCTTCATACCGGGGACGGGCCTAAGTGGGAGTAAGGATCGCGAACTCAACACGCACTGACTGATAGTTTACAATGGTAATAATTAACCGCTTACCAAAAAAAAAAAACAAGTTTTTTCACAACCAAATGTACCCAACAAAAGCACCTATTGCACATCAAAATATGTGTATAAAAAAAAATTAATTTAGCATTACGTACTAAAACTAAAGCATAATATTTTATCGCAATTCATATCTAGCATCTAAATATATAGGTATCTAATATTTCCAGCATACAACAAACTTATGAGAAAAAACATACCTATTTCACTGAAAGGTACATCAGTCTATCGGAATGAAACACCATTTTATATGACATAATGGTTTAATTGCAAATACAATTTGATCAAAACAATAAGATTAACAAAAAAAAATAAAAATTGCACACAAACATTGCAGTAAAATCCAATGCTTGAAAATCGTAGTATTTTTTTGTATTTGCAAGTAAGGGTTCAATTTCGTCCCAATATTATGAATTGCTTAGAAGAAAATCAGCTCCAAATATAATATTTGTTGTACGTGATTCATTGTATAAACGAAGATAATTTATAGAGCAACTTATGAGAAAAATTACGGTAGTTTTGTTAAAAGAATTGTTATTCCGTTTAGAGTTAATTTAAGTTGATGTGCAGTCAGTATTTTTGTTATGTAAACCATATTTTTGTAAATAAATGAACACTTTCGTTGTACACTGAGAAATTAGCAGAGGTCTAGTTTTGAAACATGTTTTTAAATTATTTTTGATACTAGTTTTGTTAGACAGTTGACAGGACATTTCTATTTGTGGTGAAATATTTTTTTAGATATGCAAGTTATTTGAATAATGAACATAATTTTATATGTATTGAGTTTTTTGATATTTCCCATTTTACAATTCAGAATCAACACGATTTGATAATAATTCTATTTAAGCTGCTTGTTAATAATGCGAGGGATGTGCGATGTTGAAAAACACATCGATATAGTTAGTTTAGTTTTAAGTTTTTTAGTTTCATCACAGTGTTTCTAACAATAATGATCAAACTAGCGATGCATCGACAGATGCAAACAATGATAGATTGAACAAAATCATAAAATGTTAGAATCCCCACAGTTACCCCACACAGCGCCAATCCTCACAAAATCCCCAATCTAGTTGAAATTCCCCGCAATTTGGGGAATTCCCCACAAATGGGCAACCCTGCAAACCACTTAATACAAGAAAAACTTAGGTCGTATTCTAGAGCTCTACTCAATGCTCAAGTCAGGACTTGAGTATGATTCAAAGTACTAGAAATCATACTCGAGTCCTTACCATTAGAGTCGTATTTCCAGTGCTTGAAATCAAACTCAAGTCTGCTAAGTTCTGCATTGAGTAGAGTAGAATACGACCCTGAGAAATTGAAATGCTTTTTTTTCATACGTTTCGTATGGAACAGGCGAAGGTCAAAAACCATATGCCTAGTCATTAGTTTCTCTTTTTAACCGACTTCAAAAAAAGGAGGAAGTTCTCAATGCGTCTGTTTTTTATGTATGTATGTTACGCGATAACTCCGCCATTTTTTAACCAATTTTGATAATTCTTTTTTCGTTGGAAAGAAGGTACCTCAGATGTGGTCCCATTTAAATTTCAAGAAAATATTCCACCTCTAAGAGTGGCAAACTAGGGGATGAACGACTTTTGAGGTCGGTTTTTTAAACCGGAGGTTAGGTTATTCTTCAATATTATATATCGCACCCTTAGTAATATAAGGGCACAATCCAAAAAAAGTAGATTTTTGGGAAATCGCGTATTAAGATTCTGGATTCCTACATTACACCTATTTTTTCAAATAATATGCTTATTATTTAAGTTATAAATATGAAATTTGGCAGATTTGTTCTTTGATAAATGTATTATAAAGAGCAATAAAAAAAAAATTATATAAATAAATTCCATAAGTTTCAAGCAAGTTAAAAAAACACTTTCAAGTTAGACCCATATAGTACAAAAAATATAACAGAAATATGGAGCTATATAAGTTTGATCCCATTTATTATTTAAGTCCCTATCAATTCCCAAATTTCCCAAAAATCTACTTTTTTTGGATTGTGCCCTTATATTACTAAGGGTGCGATATGTTTGGATAATAGTCTACATGATTTTTTAAATATTTATTTCATGACCACGGATACTAGTCATTCAGGTAAAATAATAGAAGAAAAAGCATAGAAAGGTTTTCACATGAATGAAAGAGAATTTTATTATTATTATTACTTTTGTTAGGGTTGTGCCAGTGTCAGTTTTATAAGAATAAAGGAATAATATAAAAAATTCTGTCAGTGAATAAAAAACCAAAGCTGTACGGGTCAAGAGCACGTCAAGCTTGACACTTAAGATTTAAATTCAACTCTATTCCACTTACGATAAGAATGGTCCAAAGTACAAAGTGTAAAGCTTGATGTGCTCTTGACTGTACCAAAAGTTTAATCGCTTCTCGTTAGTGCGTTTCGTGATTTGTACGTACTACAACGTGGAATAATCCCTTAGAGGATGGAAAAATATTAATCCCAAGTCATATACGATTTTTTTTATTTATTGAGCTTTGGCTAATTGGCCTTATAGGCCTTCGGCCTTTAAAATCGCTTTGTATGATGTTAGCTAACCAAAATCGATACAATGAATGACAATGAGGATACGTTCGTTTCATAGACAAAACTATTTTTTAATTTAATTTGACATTTTGCGCGATGAGTAAAAAAAACAAAATAAAATGTAGTTCAAAGTACTGTGTTGTGACAAATGATGAAAATGAGTAAATGAGAATTGATGTTAATAGATTTCCATTTTCGTTTCTTATAGATTTTATGTATAAATAATTAATTAAATTCAATGCAAAAAGCGAATGTACATTTAAACATTGTGTAAAGCTTCGCCGTTTCCTTGTCGACTTCACCAAATCTAAAACAACGACACTGAAATGTTGGAAGTTCTAAATGGATTTCTTTTGTTTTATTTCGTCATTCTGTGCTCCATAAGTGCGTTAGTGCCTATTATAGTAAAACCGGTAAGTACCGCTATATATTTCCTTAAATAACTGCACGCAATTCTACGACGGAGTATTAAAATTTACCAGGTGTATTACGAAAATTATCTTGCTCATTTGTACGTGTCTGTAGTCCCCAAATATTGTCTTGTTTGCAGATAGCAACATGCTTCGCCAAACCGTCTAACGAAGAACGAAATCTACTAGCCACTGTCTTGAAACTAAAGGCAGAACAGAAATTAATTTCAATAAAAGATGAGTTTGCTGCGTATTCTAAACTTCAGCGACAGATCATCAAATTGGAAAACCAGCTAAAGGATGCTTCACAGTCTCGTAGGACTAAGAGCCTAGCTATAAAGGGTTCTGTTCACATCGTCCTCCAAGTGACCATAGCATTAATGATAGTAATCTCAGTTATATGGTTCAGAAGGGAACCCATAGTGGCTTTCAAGGGAAATCTTTTCCCTCTTATGTCAATTCTAAGATACCCTAGCGATATGCCTAATGCTATATCTACACACATCTGGGTACTTGTCTCTAACATCTCGATAAGATCCTTGATAAAACCATTTGTTTGATTGTATTGTAATTTTTGTATTTATATTAAATGAAAAAAATTATTTATTTCTTTATTTATTAAACAAAATAACATACTCAGTTCGACATAAGTCCAAATCTGTCCTCTAAAAATATGAATAACAAAAAAGCTTTTCACGCCCCCGAGAGCCTTATTATGCTTATTTTACACGCATCATGTTCCTTACTTTTAGGATTCCACATTTTATGAAAATATTTTAATAAAAAGTTAACAAATACAAGGTATAACTATGAAAATTATTTAAAAAAGTGAACAATAATAATTAACATCATAGTAACTGAAAATACAAAAAATCAACTGTATGTGTTAGTGTGCGTGTTGGAATTAGTATTGTATTTGAACAAAAGTCTGTGCGTTGGCATTTAGTCATAGATTCGCTTTAAGAATGATAAAGGTACTATAACAAAGCCCAGCTGATTTGTGCGGTTATTACCACCACTTTTAGCTAATTGTACAATATAATGCACCCATCATGGAAGAACAGCTTAGATGGAGTTAAGTCAGTCTTGTTTATTGCTCCATTAGTTACGGAAAAATATAACCCACATCCTTTACAATTCTCAGAACTCTACCTATAATATTAGTTGCTAGAATTAGAAGTATTGGAGATGATGTGGGTTATATTTTTCTGTATCTAATGGAGCAATAAACATTTGTGACGAAACTTCACTTATGCTATTCTTCCATGACGGGTGAGATATGTATATCACACATGCGGCATATTTACACCAGGTTTTGAAATTACACTGTCTTCAGCGTCGAAATTTGTATGATTTTACAACAAATTCTCAAGTTAATCTTTACATTTGGTAGATTGGTCTCATTATGTCTCTAAAGCTGGTTACTGACAATCACTAGTTTCTAGACAGAAGTGTTAAGTATTCAGTCAGAACTAACAATCATTATTCAGGTCACAGACTTGAAAAACTAAATAAATTCAAGTTTAATGATTGCCTAAAATACAGTTGGTTCCTTTGTGTTACCTTTTGATAGACAATTGGATTAATAAAGAAAGTATGTTAAGACTAATTCAATAATTATTATTTACAAGCACTATATCACAGCTTATAACTTACTATATATTTGTTTTGGGCAATACACAAATTGAAAAAGCTCTAATTTGTAAATGAAAAGTTAGAATTAAAACATGCAACCAAAAAATTGACAAATATAAATTTCTAAAATGCACTGATGACATCAAATACCAATAAGCGTTATATTTAAATCAAATTATTATTTCAGAGAAATTTTGAATAACTCAAAATTATTCTAGTAGTTTCACTACAGAACCCTATAGAATTATATTATTGTTTTATAACTAATATTTATATTATATACTAGTCATATTCCGAATAGGCACAAACTTATCACATTATAAAGCATGTATTGATTAAAAGTTGTAATTCTACATTTGAAACTAAAGTAACGTCATAAATATTTTTCTTACAACATCATGTATCACGTTATAAACAATCAATGTTTACATTGCAATGACTTAAATTAGTATCCCATCCCCATATATTTTAGAGAACCAATTTTAGGACTTCGACTGACTAGTTCTTTATATTTTAAATATATTTTACATTCCTAACAACTGAACAATCATACTTACATTGATAAGTGCTAAATTTAGTTCACAGCAACTCTGCTACTTGAGGATTGCAAAATCGAAAACTACATTATACATCTGTCACATCTTTAAAGATGAAGAATTAACAGCAACATTCTAAATTAAAAAAAGTAACATACCATTGTTTTGGCACGAATGTTTGTAAGTACTCAGTGAACCGAGTTTATATACTACATCAATCACCATTATTTAGTATCTAACAGTAATTATAATTTGATACTACCTGGATGTGTTAAATTGTTAAGGACCACGCGCACTAGACTGCTACAATCAACGACCTATCGTAGGTGCAAAAACATCGGTCTTTGTAGCAAGATGAAAATTTGGCAGTGACCACTGACAGGGAGGTACGAGTTATTTCAAGGAGCCAAAAAAAACCGCGACCTGTACGCTTATCGAAGACTGCCCGTATAACCAGTGGTTGGTTTAAGGGGTGACCACACTTGCCGACCTAAAATCGGCTTAAGCCGATCAGAAAAAGCTTCATGCCATGAAATAAGAGCTTGGCGGGCAACTTGTTTCGACACAGATGATACGTACGTCTTTTTCGCTCTTATTCCATAGACATAAAAGTTTTTCTGGCAACTTGTTTCGACATAGGCGATACGTACGTCTTTTTCGCTCTTATTCCATAGACATAAAAGTTTTTCTGACCAACTAAAGCCGATTCCGCGTCAATAAGTATGGTGACTCCCGTAAAAGTGGAAGATGTATCCCTGTAGTTGCCACGGCCACGTTTCTTAGAAGACTACGTTTAGCTGGGCTGATCGTAGCCACTATAAGCTCAAATACGACTTGTGATTTTACCCCCTATTTATGAATGGACAGATGGACATATAAAGACTAGACTAGGACTACAAAAAACAGCGACAATCAGCACCATTATTATCCATTTAGGCGGAGTAAAGGCGTTCAAAAACAAAATTGTTGGTAAGTTTTTATTAAATGTGAGGATGTTTCACCACCATATTCATTTTTTTTAATTACTCCACTGTTTTGTTATAATTATTGAACAAATTTCGAACACTAAGAAAATTCCCTTCGATCCGGTTGGATTCGAACCAACGTCTCCCAGGAAACTATGTCAGACGCTATACTAACTGAGCCAAGGAACGAACCAATGGACCTCACGAATTTCATGTGTTTGTTGCAGATCTTTGATCTGGTTTTGAAGTTGTTGTTATTTTCAGCGAAGATATGAATTGATTGTTTTAAATACGTCTCCTCAACAAGCCCAGAGGATGTCTCGTAGAGAGGCGAAACACGCCGATTATATTTTTGATGGTATTCCTGACTATAGTTGCGTTTGTATTATTTGTTTTTATTAATTTATTGAAAAAGTAACCAGTTATTTGGCACGATTAAACCTTCACTGGGTTCGGAGAGTAGCAAATTAATTTACTTCCATTCTTATTAACGTGGATTTCCGCAAAGTAACGCCTGAATTGATTACGTCTCTTCTATTCTCCGCTCTGGTGGATACGGGTTAAGACACACTCATCTACAGTGATCGTCGGGTTTGCATATACACAAAACGCACAACTAGTAAGTGATGGCATTCGCAAGTGACATTTCGTATGAACAATTGTTATTTTTATGTAGATTACAGTCGATTGCGGTCGAGCAGTGTGTCTTGACCCTAATGGGCCTAACAGGTAAAATAGATTTTTTTTAGGGAAAACTACCATTTTAAATTTCCAAAATAATCTGTAACATCAACGAATTGCCTTGGAACAACATTTGAATAAGTACTGAATTCACTTAGATCCATGTAAACAACACGACTTTCTCACTAACTTTTATAAACTACATCTAAATAATTATGTACAAATAATCGTATGTAAATTCAGTCACTTAAATCGTTACCGTCTATCGGTAACAAGTACAATCCAAGACCATAAGGACAACCAGCTTATTTTTAATAACAAGAATATAAACTTTACTCATTCTAAGAATAGTAATAATCATTATACATACATACATACACATATAGGGTTGACAGACTTGTGCTTAGTCGCTTATTGCTTTAAATGAACGATGTGGATGTTTGAGTTATGTGCTTTAGTCTGCCGACCCTAGGGTAAGCTCCGTGCGCGAATGTAAACACGCATATTATTATAGTATTACAGGATTTGATACAACCGTGAGATTGGTGAATCACAATTTGACAAAATAGATACATTATATTTCATATACGTTAAGGGTCGCCGGTTCAGATACACGAATTTAATCATAGTAGGCGCACACAAGCCGACTCGCGGCGAACGCTTGTCATCTGAATCGACCTTAAGAATGTACCTATTTGAAAATTCAAACTTGACTGGCTAATTTTTAGCCTTCTTAACACCTTGTTTATCGCATTCTAAATGCAAATTGTAACAAAAGCGACATTATGACAATATTATACGACTTATTTTTGTCCGGTGCTTACTGGGTTATTTTTACACAGAGTCAAAAGTTATTTAGAAATAAATTTTAAATCGACATATTCCATTCATTTGCCAATATATCCTGGCCTTGTCTTAGTACTGCTTAACTACATTCGAAATTATGTAGAGCAAGCTAAGTATTCTCATAAAAGGAACTATTGAAGTGTGTAGTAAGTAGATATACCACTGCCTCGTACGTCGACATCATGATTGCTGTGTTCGGTATTTGACGGACTAGTTGTGTACCTAGGCCCCTGTAAAAGTAAATAAATTATAAATAATATAACTGACTAGTTTGTACGGTTGGGTAATTATCGGAAAATTTCCGAAAAATTGGAAAAATTTGAAAAATATAATTTCGAAGGCTTATAATTATTATATTCGACGTTTCAAAATTACTTTTGAAGTTTTATTTAGCGTGAATTATTCAATAAACTTGTACAGCTAAAAGCCACTGAGAAAACCGCGATATAAAATTATTTCACAACAGCGAAAACAAACCTTTACTAACACCTTACTTACTAACTTAACAGCGATATCTGACTTAGAGCCAGTACACATTAAGTGTTTTATTAACCAAGAGATCCGATTAGGAAAACATACGCAAACACTTGTTTCTGACAGAGACTAACGCGCATTTAGGGTAACGTGTACTAGCTGTTAAGGAAGATATTGGAATTTATCAGTCTTTCTATATTCGTGAATAAATTATTTTGATAAATTTTCAAAATGTTTACAATACATGCCCAAATAATTGACCCTGTTTTCCCCTATCTCCAAGCCACGTTACCTCCCAAATCCAAGCGTCAACGTCTTCTCATTGTATATGTAGGGGCCAATACTACGCTATAGTATTGACGCCTAATTGTTTAAATTGATAGATGATAAAAGTATAAAGTTTATTAATAAAGTAAGAAGATACAAGGCTCGTTGAGGATGTGTATCTCTTACGCTGTTGTTACGTTAAGACATATGAATGTTCGTTAAACACTCAAGATGTCTAGATGAAGTGAATTCTCGTTTAACACTAAAATTACTTGCCTACTTATGTGCCCATGTAATGTATGTAAGCCACGGACAGTAGGGCACAAAGTAGAGCGCAAGGTAAGCGGAAGAAAAATGTGCGGTTGTAAACCGTACAGTATATGTATGAATAAAAGAATTATACCTATAAACTCCACGGCATCCCTCTTCCATCCAAACTGTATGCAGCGTTTGCCAAAACTTGCGATATTTGTTCCCCTCTTCTCGCAGTCGCGTTCTTGCTACTTCTGCGATTCCACAAAAACAATAAGTAATAAATGACGCTGCACGATCACACCTGGCCTAAAATATGGAATTCCCTATAGCGTTAGTAGCGAAGTAACCTATATAATCTTGTGATGACTAATAGAACACACGAACCGATTGAGGAGATAATTAAAAAGTTTAGAGCAGAGGACAGAAATGAATTTACATATATTTTTCCGACAGAGTTGCACACTCCTTATATGACAAAATTAGTGGGTTCTTTTTTTTTTAAGTAATGCAAACGTTTTCGAGCACGTTTGAAAACAGTTGGTTTCCTAAATTGGTTTTGATAATGCTCAAAATGCACATAACGCACACGACATAAATACGATCACAAAAACGGCTAACATTTCATTTTAATCTTATTTCAAATGACCGCTGTGACACTGTTTGTTTATTGCATTTTTCATTTTTTTTACTTACATGTGTAAAAATAATCAGTATTTTATTGTTTTGCACATTACTGTCACAAACAACAACGTGCAATTGATATTAGTTATTATTGTTATACAAAGTGTAAAAAAATGGTGCAGTGGAAATTCAAGGTCGTAAAATTTCTATGAAACAGTAAACTGGTGTACTTTAAAAAAAATATTTTATATAATAAAATAAAATAATTTAAAGTTATCAATATCGAGAGAGCAAAGTACTCACACGTCGTGATTTACATAAAAACTTGCCTTGAAGTTAGTTCGATGGTAGCGGGAAAAAAAGAATGGCGAAAGCTAACCTAATAATTATAAAATCAACGGAGAGCCGTTCATTTGCTAGTACAATTTTAAGTTTCAGTTTATGCCTGGTTATCAATATATTTTTGTATATTATATAACGAAATCGTAAAACAATGTATTTTATAATAAATGCAAGAACATAACGCAATTGATTCAAACTAAGTAACGTTCTTCTTGTACGTACGTTTCATTATAAGCGTGATTGAATGTTTACCTACCTAAAGTATTGGTTATTTTATAGTAAACACAAAACATTAAATCTACAAAATACTTAATGAAATAGTCAATTAAAGACTAATGTAATGACATATTTTTATTATTTTTGGGAACAAACTGAAAACTTGTTGTTTTCTGCTACTTCGAAGAAACATCTGAAGCGAAATATAGGACGTTATAAAAATAACCTATATCAACTTTATAACTCCAACTTCTACGGGATGTACTCAGTTAGCTTTTTTGATGATATTATAATGAATCACAGCATTGATAGGTCTCTTTAATGCACGTCGTCAAAAACACTGGGCTACAAAATACACGGAATATCGCCATCCTTCATTCATTTAAAAATTGTAGAGTATAGAGTTCCAAGGTTTAGGCAATTGCTATACTTTGGAAATGAGACTATTTTGTGGACCTTAATCGCGTATATTTGTATTTTCTAGCAAACCTTTTCACTGAATATCGGTTATTGTGGATCAGTTTGCATAACAATTTAATGCTGGCTTGTAGATTCGTCATTACCGTCTATGTCTATGTGGAGACATTTTGGTTTGAAAGAAAAAAAAAACAAGTAAACACGATTTACGGTCACAGCATACATAACGTGATTTTTCCCCATCTCCTTTTTCGTCTTCGGATTTATTGTTAATATCGTTACATATAAAAACAGTACTCAAGTATACGCAACTGGACGGGACGTGAAAAATATCACCGTCGACCCGTTCCCATCCCGTATACTGCGACCGACCTTTTGATGTGCAAAATTAGTGTGTTCTTTATTCCAGCGTGACCATGGTCGAGTTTTGGAAACTTGACTTTCAGAAAAAAGTAGAACCGACTAAATAGCGACTCTTTCTGACCAGCCAAATTTCCAAACTCGACCATGGTCACGCTGGAATAAGGCACACAAAATTAGTTTCATTTCCGATTGTAGAGAAGTTTAGAATCGGGAATATATTTAAACAAAATAAATGTCTATACCTTCATTTTTGTTTCCGATTAATAAACAGAAATGGATATTGAAGCAGTAATTCATTGTATCATTGATATCCCTAGTGTTTTTCTACAGCATCTTGTCTAAAACAATCATGGTAATGGCATTTCTAATTAATGCAGAACATTATGAAATGATTAACAAATTCAGGCGTTACTTGGCGGAAATACATAGGGCGCACTAAGTTTCCGGAATTGGCCACTTTCATAAATAATATTTAAAAAGTAATTACAACACTTGAAAATGGAACTATTTGGCTGTACAATATATTTTGTTTCATCTTTCTTATAGTTTGTTTCATCTGACTGTCACTTGTTTTTACATTGTGGCGTCATTTTCGAAATTGGTTGTCTATATCACCATGGATTTAAATTTGAATTGAAAATTTTCGTAGTATGATTTTCTACGACTTTAAGAGTAATTTAACAGCTCAACGGAGCTTCGCTCGGCTTCAAACTGCTTTTGGCGATGAAGCACCATGCAAGACGACTACTTTATAGCTGGTTTGCAGAATTCAAACGCGGTCGTGCGAACCTCAGTGACAAATTTCGTGATGGTCGCCCGTCCACTGCTGTGAACAACAAAAACATCGATGCTGTGCGCCGTGTGCTCAAAACAGACATGCATGTGACCTACCATGAAATTCGGGCATCTTTAGGCATAGGCGTGAGTCAAATACAATCAATACTACACAAACATTTGGGTGTGAAACGGATGTGCTATCGGTGGATTCTACACAATTTGACTGAGGCTCAAAAAACGGATCGCGTCACTTGGTGCAGTGCCATGCTTACCAGATTCAACGAAGGGGCGTGAAATTTGGTGTGGGACATAGTAACAGGTGACGAAACTTGGATTTATAGTTACGATCCCAAAACAAAGCAGCAATCGAGCGTATGGGTCTTTCGAGATGAGCCAAAACCAACCAAAGTGGCGCGCGTGCAAAGTGCCTCAAAGAGGATGATTGCTTCTTTTTTTAATAAAACTGGACACGTGGCTATTGTTGCTTTGGAGAATCGTTGTACCGTGAATAGTGATTGGTACACGACCATTTGTTTGCCAGGAGTTATTGACAAACTCCGGAAAAATAACCGTAAATGCCGTATCATCTTGCACCACGATAATGCCAGTTCTCACACGGCCAGACAGACAAATGAATTTTTGAAGGTGAACAACGTTGACCTTATGAGCCTTGTGACTTTTATTTATTTCCAAAACGATTTTCATCACCTAAGAGGCTGTCGAAGAGTATGAAAAATATGTTTCAGAGATTGTCACGGAGGAGTGGCATAAATGTGTTCAAAATTGGTTAATTTGTATGAAAAAGTGCATTAACGCTAACGGAGAATATTTTGAGAAACTATAAATTCATTTCTGATCATTTATAGTATTTTTTTCTTATTCATTCCGGAAACATATAGTGCGCCCCATGTTTATGCTACTAAAAATTGAAGTAAATTAATTGGATGAATTTTTCTTCGACCGAGCATCCCACAATCAACAAACTGCCGAGAATACGTTTCGGGTATATTGTTGGTGTTTGTCGCTGTAGTTGCTCTTGTGCCATTAATTTTATGCGGAGCAATCAACTCGGGTCTGATATTTTGTATATAGGATAGTTAGATACATATATCATTCCAAGATTTCCATTGCACCTTTCTCTTACAACCTGTAAATTAGTAGAGTTAACAAAATTGTTTACAAGTACGTTGATGTTTTTCAACTGCAAAACACGATGTTACATATCTATTTGTACTCTCAGTACTTTATCGAATACAATCGGGAATACAAGGTACAACATGTTATCGTTACTAAATAGAATGCGCCAAAACTCTGTGAGTAAACTTACATAGCGTTTGTGTTGATCATAGCGTTACATACGTTTATTTTAAACATCAGTTAAAAAATCTCACCATGTGGGTAAGCAATACACGAAGCGACTGTCTTGGAAAAGGCTCCAGCACCCATGAACTCGATAAAGTCCCGTGGGGAGCGCTGGTCGCTGGGCACTCCGTCCAGGCTCCTAGCGGCTATCAACCGAGCTTTTACTCCCTCATACAGGACAAAGTGAACCACTGTCTCGCTAATACCCATGTATGATGCTGTTATGCCTTTGTAGAAGCCTTTTATGCCCTGAAAACGCGCAATGGTTTCTAAATGAATTATAATAAAAATAACGCACACACTTATGGCCGTAGGGAAACTCTAAACCACAAGTTACACCCAAACTCACAAGAGAAATAAATAGGCCATACAAGTATTTCTCTCGGCCGGGCTGGGAGAAATATTAAACAAACCTAGGACCTCTGCGTGGCAATCCAACATGGTAACCGTTCGGCCACGGAGGCAGTTTACTAGAAGGAAGTTAATTAGTATGTCAACTCTTAATAAATTAAAAAACTAATATTATCAGCCCCAGATTGGGTGCCATAACTACAGAAATTTAATTTTGGCGCCCAATCAAATATATAATGTGATTAATGTTAAAAAAATATGTACCGTTTTGGTGTATATCCTCTTTATGCATTGCAATGCAGTTACATTTTGTCCGTCCAGTTGGAGTCGTGTCTTTACAAACCATATTGGATTTGTCATCGTGCAGGAAACAAATCCTGAAATATTTAATAAAGAATTAAGAACAGTTAAGAGTTAATTGCTGACGTATATTCTACGCAATAGATAGTAAGTGTTACACAACATACACATGGCTTAGACAAGAACAAGTAACGTTTATTACCTGCAGCGCTAGCTGCGGATAGATGCACGATTGGCGTGTCTGGGGATATATGTTGGTTCAATATGGCCTTAGCCTGTGAATATGTGCAGAAGTAAATAGCCCTCGAAGGAGCCACTCCCACTAAATTAGGCCCCAATCCTTTGAACAACGCCTTCGGACCTTCGGTCTGCACGATATGCCTGAAAATAGTATCTATTGTAAATAACTGCTGCCCTTGCACCTATAGGCTAAACTTGGAATAATCGATAACCAGTAGTTTGACGTAAATGAGTATCTTACGAGATAAAAAATGTCAACAAAAGTTAATTTAATTTGGTTAATTATGTCGGGTAGTAACGTAACATTGAACGAGCGTTACGCTCGAATCACAACGTTAACACGAACAACATGAGTGATCAGAGAGGAGATAAGATCGAGCATAAAATTAAGCTGATAAGCGATTGGTCAATAATAGTAACAAGCTGTTAATTGTACATATTTGGCGGTACGATTAGCGAACCAATGGGGGTCACGTGTAAATCCTGCTCATGCACGCCGCGCGTGATCCGTGGGCGCGTATAATTTCTATATTTTCTTATCTATTAACATATACGTGTGTAACAACGTCAGATTTAACTGGTTTTAACCTCTTCTTTCGTCGATGTACAATTTTATTTACATTTAATCATATATTTGATATTATACAATGATAACATAAAAGGTTTTGCGTTTCATTACTTTAATGTTACCTACATCAACCAAACCTCCTGCAAAGCTATACTTACAAATTTATCTTATCGTTCTGATAATGTACGATCATATGATTGTTCAAAAGAGACAGTAAATACGTTTGAAAATATTTCTTCGAGCCCGCATTCATTCTCGAAAGAATAAACACAAGTCTCACGACTCGGTCACGTTTCGGCTGTACGATAGTACGTTCTACCTCAAGCACTTGGTGGCGCTAAGCCAAAATATTATTTAGCACCTTGTCAGTTTACTTCTATTAATTATAGTTAAATATATTATTTACAGTTAATGTAAAAGTGGGTATAACATCTTACCTGATACATTGGATAAGACTCATCCTGGTGGCGATCCTAGCGTGGCCGGCACGTGCGCACTGCTGTACCTGACAATTGTACGACATCAGCATGCGATCTCCCTGCTTGCTGTATGCGAACATCGCACCCATCGTACGTCTGTAGCCCCATTTGGCCTCCTGTATTAGACGGCCAATGTTACAGAACCATCGCTTGTGTCAAGCTTGCAAGCGGATAGCATTAACAAATTTTAGCAAAGCGACAACGCCTGAAACGTGCTATTGTCTGAAAAGCGTAGATTCACAAGGTTAGAGTCCACGAAATAAAAATTGGCAACTATACGTTTTCAAGCGACATCGCTCTACGAAAAGAAACATAACTGGAAATGTGTGCTATAGGGAATTTGGCGATAGTCCCCTGAAGAGCAACGTTTTAACAAAGATGTAGGTGTGTAGGTCACAATAAGCTCAGCAACAAAATGATGTAACCTAAACGCACTATTACTAAAGTAAGTTTTTTGTTGAGTTTCCGTGAACCATGTGCCAAAAAAAATCGCTCTCGAATGTAACGGAGTATAAAAATTATTTTAAAATGAAATTTCGTCTGGACAGATTTGCATTTCCTTTACGACACATAATGCAACAAAAGTAACTAACTATACTTTAAAGCACGGGATACGAAACACATACATAAAAGATTATACAATGATTCCATAAAATTTAGAAGTAAACAGACGCAGCAACGTGATTATGGACAGGACATTGGCAGCTCTCAATGTGATTTAATAAAAACTTAACGTTTTACTACAGAACGCGAATGAACCGCATGTGCACTCCTTGAATGGTTTGAATTTATTGCATATCTAAGGCAACGTCATCAATACGGGTGTTAATTTGGAAATATTATGTGCATGTAATGTTTGATAATCGCTTAATGAATAACAATGAGTCTTAAAATCTCTAGTTAAGTATCTAGACAACAGGTGCGTTAGATCTGTAAGGCATTCATGCTATTCTGAGTACTCCTGCGGTCCTGACTTTTATGAATATAAGCAGTTGGCGATAGTGCGTCAAGAGATAGCCACGTTTTCGAACACGTGATTCGTGTTTAAAAAGAGAATTTACATCAAATATTTCTGGCGGCGTCACTTGACTGCGTCTGTTTTTGCGTAGGATAATGAGACGCGGTCAATAATTTATATCCAAAATATCAATGCAATTTGCAAACCTAATTCTATCAAGCAACACTGAAAATGCTTTACACAAGGGATGGGAAGTGGAAGATAAATAATACTGCAATTATGGGCGTAATATACCTTTAACGCATTGAAGGACTCGTGTTCGCAATTCGAGGCAGAAAGGTACAGCTACCTTTCTGCCTCGATGTAAATATTCATAACGTTTTAGATCTCGATAAACACAAATATAAAGTAGGTACAAGTGGGCCATAAAACTGCATGGACATTCCCAACGAATGAAATCAATTTGCCTTAACATTCTATGAATAATTTACAAGAAAAATGTTTGATATTGGAACCTACTGTGTTCTATTTATTGTCATACTGGTATTCGTTGGAGATTTTCATTTCTATGCTTATGATGCAATTTTAGTGCCTTGTCGCGTGAGTCTTGGTTCTATATAATATGATAAATGATACGTATGTTGAGTAGAAATCTGACCGATAAATCGCCAAATCTGTACAGGCTTTGTGTTCAAGTCACTAATAATTAGACATACCTACGCGATGATGCGTCTTCCCATGTAGATCCCAGATTCGATACGCAGCATACACATACACCACTGAGTCTTTTAGAGTCATGTGAGATTTAGTTTACACATTTTCACGTGTTAATAGAGAAGGAAAACATCGTAATGGAACTTGCTTGTCGGATATGGTTTATTGAACTCTTGGAAGACCTTTAAAGTCCTCAACCCGTATTTGCCCAGGCTGGACTATGTCCTTAATCCACTTATTAAAGGAACTTCGCAGTTCGCAACGTAAAGTAAATGATATGTTAAGACAGTTCTTAGGTTTGTGCACCAAACGTCAGAAGACCTTCCACAATAAAAATAGACCAATGTCTCGCGGAGAAATTGTGACTTGTTAATCGATAACGCTGACAGGCGAGTGTTACTTTTATATTGAAACAATGGAAAAACACTCGAGTACAGAAGCCCCGCAGAATAATGAATCCAATATGTGCTTAAATTAAACTGATAAGGTACTCTGGTATAATGAAAAATTAGAATAACGTGTTTTTGTCAGAGGCTACGTATGCCACATTTTCCTCGAACGTGGGATGATACTCTGCAGAGGATACTTGAAAAAAGTCATAACAAAAAATTCGAAGTAAAATAATTGTATATTCCTGAGTATAATTGCAAACCGTGTACAGGGTGGCTTCCTAGATCACTGGTCTAGGATGCACATTGGTTTTGTGGCCTACAATAATAAATTGTAAAATAAGCAATTTGTAATACTAACTCTATTTTTAAGTGTTGTATTACTAACCCTTATGGACTTAGTCCGAAATAAAGAAATTTATTATTATTATTATAAAATGTATAGATAGTCTCCTAAATAGACAGTATTCCAAAGTATTAACGCTTAGGTCACAACGATTAAATTGTTTTTCAAGTAATTCCCGAAATCAATTTTAGTCTTTCATACAAAATTAAAAATTGTGTGATATGGAACGTAATGATATTTTTGTCTTTTTTAAGACATCTAAACTAAAGCTTTTGTCAGTCAACCACGACTATGGGACCCTGAAACATTGGTTGATTTGAAAAAACAAAAGGCTATTTAGACTAATTAGATCTGAAAAAATAGTTTCGTTTCCAATGTGTACTAATGGCGAAAACTTAAGACTTCGAAAAGTTGTTGCTTTTGATGAGAACGGTTTCACACGGCGACCTATAGCAGCGTCTGCAGCGATTCAATAGTGTTGTAGGCGCTAGTCATCTACCTTTGGGGAGTTACCACACTTATCGATACTGAATCGTATTAAGCCGGTCACTAAAACCTTTATGCCCATGTAATAAGAGCGAAAAAGACGTTTCGCTTCCACTTTGACCGCAGATGCGAAAGGCACAAAGTCTTTTCCGCTTTTATTACATGAGCATAAAGCCTTTTCTGACCGGTTTAACGCGATTAAGTGTCGATAATGAAGGTTAAGTCACACTGAAAGAGTAGCGGTCGGAAGAGTACCTTTGATAGAAAGAAAGAAGTGATAAAATGTGTAGTACGGCACCGCGAGCAGCCGCGAAGCTGCGCCAGACTTGTAACGACTAGTTCAAAGAGGCACCGTGCTAGCTTCTCCGGTCGCTGCGCGCCTTTACTCTTTCAGTGTGACTTGACCTTTACACACACGTGCGACTTAAGCAGCGATACAACACCGATGCAAACGCGGCGCATTAGCGATTCACGTTCTTAGTGATTTAACATAAGCGATTGCATCAATGCAATCGTCTATAAATCGCAAGTGTCGCGATACAAACGTCTGTGTAACCACTCTAAGTTGTCACCCCATCAATATTGTCCATTATTAACAAGGACCGTGCGTTCCAATGCCAAGCAAATGCCTAAGTAGGTACTTATAATAATATGTAACGTTGATTATCGTGTTCATAGAAGTTCAGCTAAAAATTATTTCGATTACGCAAGCATTTCTTATTAGTAAAAATTATGCATTCATTTTAGACAAAACTAAGTATATTGTGTTATTATTTTATGAATTGTAATTTTATAGCTGTCAAAGGAATGTAGTTCCCTACTGCCTGAAACTTGAACAATTGTTTTGACTCTACTTATAGATGGCCTCGTTGCCTGTTAGGCCAGAAGATGTATGAAGTTATTGTAATGAAATGACATTGATCAAGGTCGCTGTTATATAAATGGGTGTGTTTGAACTAACTATTAGATAGAAATATGTGGATCTCACGGTTTATAAAGGACGAAGGAAAATGCGACGCCATTGTGTTTTGACGTTATGTATGTCTGGATGGAATTTAATATGAAACCCAGCTTTGTTTGAGCAAATATTTAGTATATATAATACAAAGGAGTCCGGAGGAGAGAGAGGCAGTCCAAAACTTGAAAGAATGTTACATTTATACATATAGTGTAAGTATACTAAGAACGAATTTTTCGAAATTCAACCAACCAAACAAAAAAAGAGTCACGGCGACATTTAGCAGCGATGACCGAACCAACCACTAAAATAATTGCTCCTAAGTAAAATTTAGGCGCTATGTATAAAAATGAATGTTCATGGTGGATGATTTTCTTCAAAATGAAATGGGACCACTATGGAGGGTACTCTTTCCAACAAAAAAAAAGAAACATGAAAATCGGTTCTCAAATACCGGAGTTATGGCGTAAAATACATCCAAAAAAAAAAAAAACATACAGTCGAATTGAGAACCTCATCCTTTTTTTGAAGTCGGTTAAAAATTGTAGACATATATTAGTTATCAGTTATCAGTCACATAAATAACAAATTAAAAATTCTCTTTAGTCTGATTCGTACAATCAAGACTAAACAAAACATTCTTACTTTCTCTTAAACCTAGCATCCAAAAGAAACAACAAATATAATTGATTATATATTATAACTTATTATCTTCTAAGTATTTTCATGAAACAAAATACCGACATGTGCAATACCTTAATAATAACCACATACCATAAGTTATTATTTAATTTCAGTAATTATTAATTAGGTTTTCAGCTGTCTAAACTCAAGAAGCTTATTGTGTCTTTGAAAGGAACAGCATGTTGTTGTTTATAAAAAAATTCGTAAACCAATACTATTTTTTTACAAAACTATCCTGGGTTATATAATATAGTCCGAAATACGATTAGACACAAATCGAAATGCGTATTATATTTAGAAAGTCGTTGATATAAAGTTGTTGATTTTGATGTCCAGAACAGGCCTCTTAAGCCCGATAAATATTATTTTATCAAAAGATAAATACCACGTTGTGATTATATCTTTATTATTTAAACCTCTTGTGTTTATGCAACTAAAGCAGACAATTTGTAGACAATTAGCTTGCAGGTAGTAAGGCACCAGCTATTTGTAATTGTTATGATATTATTAGGTCTGATAATAGGTCTGATAAGGCATATAAACCGCCTTACTTATTTAGTCCTTTAACAAATTTTTCATCT